GGCGCGAGGGTCGCCGCCTCGCGGAGTCCGGGTGCGGCGCGGACGTGGGCCTCGTGTCCCGGCGGGCTAGCCGCATCCTCTGTGCGGGGGAGGGGAGCAGGTCCGGCCCGCGGCTCCGCTGCGGCAGGGCTTGTGACTGATTTGCATGAGAAATAAATAAATAAATTCGGGGGACCTGGCCTTGAGGGGCGGTGTAGGTGGGTTTGGGCTCTTGTTCTAGTGGAGGCCGTAATGGGGACCACGGGCCCGGCGTTTGACAATCGGCGATCGATGTTGCATCAGTTTCCTTTCCGGGCAAAGGAGGGGCCGTTCGGGCGGGACGCGCGGGCCGGAGTCTGGACCGGCGTGCTCGAGGGCACTGCGCGCGTGTAAACAAATCTGGCGTTTCCGTGCGCTCGAAGCGGGCGTTTTCTCTCTTCCGAAGGGAGGACTCGCAGCTGGGCGCTCCCGCGCCCCGGCGCTGCCACAGAGGGGTCCCGGCCAGACTGGGACTAACGAGGTTGCATTACGCGGCACTGCTGTCGCGAGCTCGGCGTCGGCGCTGCATGCGCGCCTGGCCCGCTGCCGTAGCGGGCTTTGCGCCCTGCGTATCATGGGGAGGCTGGGGCACCATCGCGGAGCCACACCGCCTGGGGGGCAGAGGGGCGACGCCGGAGGCCGGAGGGCGCCGGCGCGGAGCACGGGGGGACCATCTTTGTTCTCGGCGGCTCGGCCGTCGGTACTTTTCCGCCCCTCGGCGCGCCCCCGCCCCTCGCGCCGAGCTGGTACTTTTCCACTCGCCGGGCGGGGGATGAATCAGCCTCCATGGCTGCATCACGTGACGGGGGGCGGGAGGCGGGAGGCGATCGCCGCAGTCCTGACGCCGCCTCTACCTTCGCAGGCTGCGCGGGCCGGTGCGCCGCCAAGGACAAAAGGAGCTTAGCGCTGCTCGCCTCACGGCTTCCTCCCGGGCTCAGCATGAAGAAGGCAGAAATGGGAAGGTTCAATATTTCCCCCGACGAGGACAGCAGCAGCTACAGCTCCAACAGCGACTTCAACTACTCCTATCCCACCAAGCAGGCTGCTCTGAAAAGGTGGGAGAAGTTGTGCGCTTTTTTTGAAAAAGGCTCGTGTTGCTTGGGAGTGGTGTCGGGTGGTTTGTTTTATTTATGGCGATGACTGTTAGGTGAAAGTCCGCTGCTGCTTGGATGTAAAGGAAGGTGTGCAAGGCGGAGTGCAGCGTGTCTGACCGTACAGCATTCTGTTGTGTGTTTCAACCGAACTTGTCATTTTTCTTGGCAGCCATTATGCAGACGTAGACCCTGAAAACCAGAACTTTTTACTTGAATCGAATTTGGGGAAGAAGAAGTATGAGACAGACTTTGTAAGTTAAAACCGATACTTCCTGTGTCTGGCTTTATGGAGTAAAAGAATAGTTTTGACGTTTAGATTTCAAATCTAACTTGCCAGAAGCTGGTTTTCCACCATTTAATTATTGTTATATGTTTGGTTATCGTTTTCCTCTATGTAGCATCCAGGTACTACTTCCTTTGGAATGTCAGTATTTAATCTGAGCAATGCGATTGTGGGCAGTGGAATCCTTGGGCTTTCTTATGCCATGGCTAATACTGGAATTGCCCTTTTTATGTAAGTATGTGTAAGTAGTGAGTCTGCGGTGCAGGCCAGTTAATGTGATGATACCCGTATATTTTGGCTCCAGAGACTGAATTTACATTGAAGTAGTTGGCTTAAAAATTACTTGTTTAAAATTTAAAATAGGTGAGATCCAAAAACCTTTAGTCTACCATGTAACTGCATGACATTGAGAGAGCCAACTGGGCAAAAGTAGTACAAAGTGTAAAACTGTAATTTAAATCAGTGGGAATACTTGAAATAAACTGGTTCATGGGTTAGATAGCAAAGAAGACTTATTGATGAATCCAGTTACATTAAAAAGTGCTGTTCTGGCAAGAAACGGAAGCACAAAAATTTGTATTAATCAGTTTGGTAAATTGACCAAATTGGTGTCTCCCCATGGGTGGTGGATCTTCATCTGCATAAGGAAGGCTAGCACTCCTTAATAGAATGTGTTGGTATTTGCCTAGTGTGGAGGGTGTTTGTTTTAAGAAAACAGTCATTTTCTGGATGCTGAAAAGCCAGCCAAACGTGTTTTTTGTGCTCTCATTTATATACGTGGTCTAAGGCTTTAATGGTTGCCATGTGACATTAGCAGAAAGTGAATATTTCCACCAGTAGTTTGCTTTAATGAGTTCTCCTGTTGCCTGCCTGCTTAGAATTAGTTAACTGCTGTACTTCCCAGCAAAAGTGCCTAAAATATAGGATCCTGGAGCTCTGTAGACCTTGGGGCAGGGCTGTTGAGGAATCTCTGACCCTTGCAGAACATGAGAAGAGCCTGGAGCTGAGTTGGGGGGGGGGGGCGTGTAAAGGTTGGGGAACAGCACCAAACAAATGATGTAAATTTGAGCATATGTTTTCAGTTTTAAGTGATGCTTCTATCATAGCCATTAAATTTAACTCAACTATTGGCTATTTAGGCGTTTTCTGTGGAAGATTCTGCATATTTATTATGCAGATGAAGAAACCACATGTCCTGTAGCTGGGGATTGTCCTTTGGTGATGGATGTATTTTAGTTAGCTGACAGGTGCCTTCAACTGCAGTTAATTTCTCCAGAGTGACAGCAAAACAGGCTTTTGTGAAGTGTTCTTGTGCTGCAGTGCATGCTGGAGTTGAGCTGACTTGGAGGTTTGCTGTCTAGGGCTTTGAGTCCTCTTATGAAGGTGAATGATGGAGATAAAACATAGGTAGGATCCTAGGTCCTCAAAGTTTTTAACATGGAACTAGAATTAAACTATTTGAATCCTTCTATAGCTCCCAGTGAAAAAAAAGAGAGGCCCTTTTAAAAGGCCATCAGAGTGGTCATAATGCAGAATTTACATGAGAAAAAAGCACCTGTTTTACAAATGAAAGCAACATCTGGGTGTACCCTTGAAAGGACACCTTAATAGAGTATTTGCTTGATGATTGACCATATTAAATGATTGAAGAGTGTAAGGTTGGAGTGAGTTTTTTTAATTCATTTGCATTTCACAAAGTATATTGAGAAGCCTAAACATATACAGGGTATCAAATCCACAGAACAACAAAGCTCTGTAGCTGACCATATTGAGTAGATTCAATCTGGAGGTCAAAAAGGACTTCAAAGATTATCAAGCCCATTCATCCTCATGTCAGTTTTAGAGAGGACTGCATGTAAAAGCCTGCTGAAAATTGTTATTAAATCAACCACTTTTGTCCAGTAAAGTGACTATTGTCCACCTGAGACTAGACCTGAAGCTTTTGATAGTAGAATTGGACTCTAATGCCACTAAGTATGTACCTAACAAACATCCCATTTCTTTGCCAGAGCCTAAGGGTCCTGTGTTCAGTTTGCTCACACAGGGAAATGAAGTATTTTGTTTACAGGGTTGTCTCTGAGTTTCCCTGATTTTGATTTCTTGTTCCTTTTAACAAGAAACTTTTTTGGTTTTTTGACTTGTTTTTTGGGGAGAATGGTATGTCGCTAGGGGGAGAAAACTGTGCCCTAAAGGAGAATTTAGTGGCATTAGGGAATTGAGTCCCTCTTTATTTTTACTTTTTTTTTTTTTTCCTTCCTGTACCACCAAATTGAAAGAATGGAGTGGGGAAGGGAACAGCCCAGACAGAGTTGTGACCCTACTTGTTCCAGCACAAGCATCATTTACTGGGGCAAAATGGCCTTTTGTTGGGGGCGGGGACAGTGTAGTTTATTAGGTCCCAGTGGTTACTACTTTGATTTGGGCCTGATTGTTTATAAAGCTTCAACTGTTTAAAAAGTTAACACTTGCCCTCTTTTGGGTAGTCACTCCTCTCTTTATAATCCAGCTAGTATTGATTCTTCCTGACCCTATCTCAGTTGGATTTTACAAATCACCTTGTATTAGGCCGACCCCATTTCACAGATAAAAGTTAACTAAGTATCAAGTGTACAGCTAGTTAGTACGGTGCTGGACGCAAATAAGTCTTCTGGTTCCACATTGGAAATTTAGACTTCCCAACAGCTCTGGGCATCCCTGATCAGTAGGGAACTCCCTGCTTTAAACACCCGTTACTACCTAGATTAGAAATGTTAACCAGGAGGATAAACTCCAGTTTTGGGGGGCATTCTAGCTCAAGAAATAGTGGAACAAGTTCTGCATGTGTTTAAAAGTATGAAGAGTTGTTTTTTAAACATAATCCTGTCCCTTTTCCTTTTCTCATCAGAATTCTCTTGACATTTGTGTCGATATTTTCTTTATATTCTGTTCATCTCCTTTTGAAGACTGCTAATGAAGGAGGTACGTTAGGATTCTTCATATTCCTAAAACAGTGAATGTGTCATGGTGGTCTTCCTCTTGCTGAAATATACTCTACGCTTCTGTGTCCCTCAAATTACAGGGTCTTTATTATATGAACAGTTGGGACATAAGGCATTTGGAATGGTTGGAAAGCTTGCTGCTTCTGGATCAATTACAATGCAGAACATTGGAGGTAAGGATTTTGTGAAAGGTGATTTGGGTTGACATTGCTCTTTGTAGCAGCGTGATGACACATTAACTTGGGGTGGCATGTGCCACATTTTGCACTTGTAATGGTATAATTTTGTTTTCCTCCAGCTATGTCAAGCTACCTCTTCATAGTGAAATATGAGTTACCTTTGGTGATCCAGGCATTAATGAACATTGAAGATACAACTGGGTAGGTGCTAAGGTTACTCCTAAGAAATGAAAATACAGTCGAAATGGTTAGATACTTTTTATCAAAGGTGGAGACAGGGTGATGATCAGTGGATTATTTTGCTCACTTCCTGTTCAGCTTGACCAAGCAGTCTCCCCAAAAGTGATTGGAACTTTTGAAAATGAAAGATACCTCTGGATGACATCATTTCTAATTTGTGTGTGAAAACAGGTTTTCTGCACCTTACCTTTTCTCTTTATATACCCTAAGTTGGAGCTGAAAGTAACACACCCAAACCCCAAGTCACATTAGTTGTTTTGTATTACATGGAAATTCATGACCTCCCTGGCTTGTAACTTTGAGATTTGTAACTCTTGAGAAAACTGAGTATTTTCCAATCCATGAGAAAATGTATAGCCATTTTAAGTAATGAGGAGGAGTAATGAGCCCCAGTTTATATGGACTCATTATCTCAAGATAAGAGGTGTGGTTATCAGGATTTAGACATTGAGTAAGCTTATCTGAAATGTTGGGTTTTCCATGGGGTCTTTGCTGATGTGAGTTGGAAATAAAATTCACTTAGAATTGCAAAGAGGGTTTTGTACTTACTAAGGAAGAAATGTTACATTGTATACAGAGTACTATTTTCTCTAAATTCACAATGTGTCCTTTGAATGCTTATGGAGTAGAGGTGTGCTCTTGATAACCTGAAATGAGTCATCCTTGAGGAGGGTGGGGGCTTTTTTGTTGTTGCCTGCGGATGGTATGAGAAAATTCTATCTTGATATGTTCATAAGTACAGTTGCTAACAAATATCTGAAGCTGGTCTTAAATTTTTCTTGTTTTCTAGCATTAAAAATGGCAAGCTAAAGTCAAGAAAGTTGGTATATGATTTTGCTTAAAAATGCTTAGCGATAAGATTACTGGCTTAACAATGCCACTTTGTTCCCACATCAATTTCAAGCCTTTAAGAAGCATTTTATGTTATGAAACAGCTGGCAACCTTCCCAGAGAAAACTGGGACAAAAGTTATACTGTTTTCAGACTCCCATTTCTAACCTGAGTGAATATTCATCTGGTATATAAGAGTTAAAAGTATCTTCCTGTTTATAGATTTATTGAATAATTGATACTTTTTCCAAGCCTTTGGAGGTTTATATTTCTTTAAATGGAATCCTGTGGAAAATGTATATATGAAGATACTGATGACTGGTTTTTTTTTTTTTTTCTTTTTTTTCCCCCCACTCCAGATTGTGGTATCTGAATGGTGACTATCTGGTTCTGCTGGTGTCCTTGGTGCTCATTCTTCCTCTGTCACTGCTGAGAAATTTAGGTCAGTAAATGTATGGCTGAGGGGAATGGAAGGGAACCTCTGCCTGCTGGGTGGCTTTCTTGTCACAGAAACTGGTGAGATGACAAGCAGACCATCTGGTTATTTTAATTAAGTACATTCAGTATGTGAGAATTAGAAATGAACTTTCTTTTGTGTAGAAGAACTGGGGTGAAGACAGGTGTTGGGGGACAGGTTGTCTCACCAGAGACAGTGAGAAGCAGAATAGGTGGAGCTACTGCTGAGGGGAGCAGTGGCGGGACAGGAGAGGTCCTCTGCGCCCTATGGGTCAACTTCCTGGCAGGGGGCAGATCTCAGGCCTTACAGGGAATAATGCACCAGGGAGGCTCAGAATTAGAGATTTAATGTTGTATCCAGCTAATGCCTCCTAGGCAGAAATTTTTCTGGAGAAAATATAGCTGCCCTGAACCTATAGTATTAACTGGTTTTGTTCCCCCCAAACAGGGTATTTGGGTTATACCAGCGGCCTTTCCTTACTGTGCATGATGTTCTTCCTGATTGTGGTATGTATTCTTTCCCTTTTCGAGTTAAGGAAATTACTTAATAAACCCTGTATGTTACTCATTTTAACAAGTGGAAATCAATCCATTTTAGGTAATATGCAAGAAGTTTCAGATTCCTTGCCCTGTGGAAGTTGCCTTGATAATTAATGAAACCGTGAATAGCACTTTAACACACCCGACAATGTTCGCTTCTAATATGGCACTTAATACGACAGAAGGTGATTCCTGCAGACCACGTTATTTTATCTTCAACTCACAGGTAACTGAATATGACCTTCATATTCTCAAAGGAAGATATAAGGGAAGAAAAGGGAATGAGCCTTTGGAAATCTCAAAGTAACATGTAAAGGGAGGATATGTAGTGGCTACTTATTTTTGTGTAGAACTGGAGTGTAGGACAGAAGCATGGGAGGTGTGGGGAGTGAGAGGGTTCACCAGAGACAAGAGTGGGGAGCAAAACAGGTGGATCTTCTGAAATCCACTGCTAAGCAGGGCACTGGGTAAGACACAGGAGAGGTCTGCTACTCAGCTCCCTGGCCTAGGATGGAACTCAGGCCATAGTGGTGATAGTGCTGAGACTTAACCCCTAGGCCACCAGAGAGGCCCAGCTACATTTTAGAAAATCTGATAGCTCACCATTGGGGACCGAAAAAAAAAATCTGTTGTCTTCAATCTTAAAATAGATTGAGAAATGAAATAATCATAGCACATAAATAATTGATTCTTTTAAAAGTTAGGATATTGATCGCATTTAATGACCAGATTCAAAGAGGGGGAGCTAATCCTGCCTGGATGGAATCTTTAGGGTTTTGAGTATAAGATGAGCAAGTACAATTTATAGACTGAGTTTGTCACATCAGAAGAGTAAGGAGTTTTTATGTTTTTTGCAGACTGTCTATGCTGTGCCAATTCTGACCTTCTCATTTGTCTGCCATCCTGCTATCCTCCCCATTTATGAAGAGCTGAAAGGGTAAGTCCTTACCTTGTTTCTGTAGACTTTTTGAAACTATTGATGGCTGTTGTGTAACTACTGCTAAGGTAAATATTTGTGTTTTCTTTTGACTTCATAGTCGCAGCCGTAAAAGAATGATGAATGTATCCAAGATTTCATTCTTTGCTATGTTTCTCATGTACCTGCTGGCCGCCCTCTTTGGCTACCTGACATTTTATGGTAATTGTCTTTATTTTGTATTAAAAGTTACTTTGTGACATGAAATTGATACTCAGTATGTATAGTTCATCACTTAAAATTTCAGCTAGTTTTTGATATGTTTTATTGGTAATAAGAAATAGACACATTTAGAATTGTCTGGTCCATTTAACCATAATTTCTAAAAGTCCAGGCTAAAAATTACAGCCTTCATTGTTTGATAGCATTTTTGTATGATGTTCTTGCCTTCAAGTTGTCTTGCTTCTCTCCTCCCTACCTCCCCAAATTATATAACACAAAGAAACTGGAAGCCAAACCCTGGGATTTAGCTATTTAGCTCCTGTTGCTTTTAATGGGGGTCATGTGGCTAAATCTGTACTTGGTATTTAGAAAAGTTTTTCCTCAGTATTATTTTAATTGCATTAACACTAATTCCAAATAAATCCTATTAGCCTCTAATATTTACAGTTTTTTTTGTGACTAGCTAATAACTTAGCCTATTTTGCTGTAAGATGGATTTTGTTCTATAAACTTCAGAGACTATAGCACATCTGAATTTGGTTTGGTCTTGTCTCTCCTAAACAGACCACGTTGAGTCAGAACTGCTTCATACTTACTCCACTGTCCTGGGGACTGACATTCTTCTCCTCATTGTCCGTTTGGCTGTGTTAGTGGCTGTGACCCTAACGGTACCAGTAGTTATTTTCCCGGTAAGTTGTCACCTGTCTCTGTTCTCATTAGGTATGGGTTGTAAGAGATACTCAATCTACTGAAGGAGGAAAACACTTCCAGAGCCATTCCAGATGGGTGGTGGTTATAAAAGGACTTTTAAAAATACACTAGATTTTTTTAAACTTCGTTAACTTAAATTAAGGAGCATTCTTCAAGTATCAGAAGGTGGTTTAGATGTATAGGAATTGGTTAGAGATGGGCACAAGTTACGTATTTTAATTAGCTGTTTTATTTCAGATTATTTTCTTTCGTTCATTTACACATATGAGAACTGGGGTGTAGGCTAGAGGTATGGAGAGTGAGAGGACTCACCAGTCAGTGGAGAGCAGAATGGGCAGATTTATTGAAATCCACTGCTGAGAGGAGCAGCAGACAAGATAGGTCTGCTGCTACATACGGGTCAGCTCCTTGGATAGGAATTGGACTCAGGCTGTAGCAATGAGAGCACTGAGACTTAGCCCTAAAGCTACCAGGGACATCCTCTTGATTTGTTTCTTTTAAATTGAAGAACTACTAAAGCGGATTTTTAATGGAGCTGATTTTGCAGATCCGGAGTTCCATCACTCACCTGTTCTGCGCAGCAAAGGATTTCAGCTGGTTGCGTCACACCATCATCACGGTGTCTATTTTGGTATTTACCAATTTGCTTGTCATCTTTGTCCCAACTATTCGAGATATCTTTGGCTTCATTGGTAAGTTTTTAGAAAGGATTAAAGTTGATTGGAACATCAGTGACTTTTAAGTTCTAAAAAAATATTAAGTGGTTCTTTGAATTCTCAGAAAGTGGCAACTGTTCCCTTACAGGTGCTTCTGCAGCTGCTATGTTGATTTTTATTCTTCCCTCTGCCTTCTATATCAAGCTCGTGAAGAAGGAGCCCATGAAATCAGTACAAAAGATTGGGGTGAGTGTTATGACAACCACAGGAATAGTAATGACAAGAACAAATAGCCCTCAGCTGATTTTAATTTTAATATTCAGCTGCCATTGGTTCTGCTTTCACTCAGTGTCCAGTGACTACTGCTAGCATGCTGTGCTTCACAGATGGAAAAGCAGTAGGGGAAGGAAAACTTAGTTAGCCATCTAGTAAATGCTGGAATCTGTTGCAAGAAAATTATTAGGTTCTTTAGTGATAGGACTAGGGATAAGGAATGGAAAGTGTAAATTTTATTTAATCCCCAGTATCTGTTAAACTGGAGAGTTACTTTCCATGGACCACAAGTAGCGTAAAAGGAAAAAGTGGGATGTATAGTAGAACCAGATGAACATTTCCAAAGCAAAGCCCAGAAAGCTGTCCTATACTTTTAAGTCTAGTAACTGACATGAGGATGTGCTCACTAACCATAAAGGATCAAAGAACCAGACTTGTTTATAAACCTAACTTTGTAGCAACAGTAGTGATTAGAGCGAAATCGGGAGTCAGTTTCCACGTGGTTCTTAGTTCCCCTGTCTTTGACCTAGACTAAATCTTACGATGAACTTGGGCTTGATTTTGTGTGTGTATGTGTGACTTCAGTTTTAACCTTTAAAAAGACAGATAAAAACTCTGCACCACTGTGTTAAGTCTAGATGAAGTCATGTGTTCATCAGAGAAGTTCATTGAAACAAAGAAATGAACAAGTGTGAAATTATGGAAGGCGCCCAAAAAGTTATTGCCAGCTACCACAATAGAATACTCTTGTTCACTCAGGAGAAGTAGCTTGAGCAAACTCTAGGGCCCTGGGAAGGCTGAGATGATCTTAGCAATGAGCAAGTTTTGTTTTATGAATGCATTTTATTTATGAATGCAATAAACAGGGTGTAGGGGATAGCAGTTTGGGAGCTGAGAGGATTCCCCAGAGACAGAATGGGGAGCAGAACAGCTAATCTATTGAAATCCACTGCGGAGGGCAGCAGTGGGCAAGACGGGAGAGGTCTGCTGTGCCTTACGTCACCTCCCTGGCTGGGGATTGAACTCAGGCCACAGGAGAAACGCTAGCATGCAAGAACAGAGGGTTGTGGCCCACATATGTGTCCTGTATATAGTCACTAATGGTTTCCTCTGTGCTCCTTGCAGGCTGCGCTCTTCCTGCTGAGTGGGATAGTGGTGATGACCGGGAGCATGGCCCTGATTGTTTTGGATTGGGTCCACAATGCCTCCACAGGTGGCCATTAACTGGCACTCCCGAAACTTCAACAGTCCATTTGATGCCAGTGTTGAGTCAACACTCAACTGCTATGAAATTTCACCTAATGTTTTCAGTTTCACTTCCTTTTGAAGTTGATTCCTCGCTGGTTCTTCTGAGCGCAGAATAAGTGAACTTTTTTTGTTTGTTTATTTTAAGAAACTTCTGGATGATAGAAACAGATATTAACAACAAAACCAGGAGCCTCGGGTTAACGGAAGTGACAATTTTATTCCATTCCAGAGAATGGACAAACTCTTTTATCAAGCCACATGTTTGGCTGTGTCATTGTTTAACTTGGATATTTTATGATTTTACTTGAATGTGCCTAATGGAACCATTCGATGTGAGAAATAATTCTTCTTAATTTACAGCAAAGTATTGAGAAAAACACTATTATTTTTTTGTACCAAAAATATTTAAAGACCTCAGAAGCACTATTTTACTTTAAAAAAAAAAGGCTTTTTTTGAACTTTGTCCAAAAAACAGTTGTCAATATAAATTCTGTCAAAGAAATTGCATTGGTATTTAAAAACAAGTATTAATATTATGAGATGATTTGCCTTTTTTTTAGGCATAAGAAGCCAAATACTTTTTTTACCCAAAATAATTTTTAGAGAAAACGATGTAATGAAAAATTGTACCATGAATAGGAGTGTAGTTTTGTCACTCAAATGTCATTGTTAGTAAGAGAATCAATTATCGCTATACCAAATCAGATGAACATTGTTCATCACTCTTCTCTGTCCTCATAATTTGGCTCATTTAGATTGAACTAGGTGTGTGACTTCCATCTATTATAGTGGAGGGAAAGGCAGAAATTTCTGTGGAAAGTAAAATAATTTTGAGGTACCAAATAGCGCAATTGGGTAACAGGGTTTATTCAGTTGCATCCCTCCAGAGTTGCATTTGCAGCTCTGGGGTTTTTTGGGCCAGCCCTATTTTGCTTTTGCTTCCAGCTGTGGAAATGGGCATTTGATGGCTAGAGACCAAAGATGGTCATGTCTAGAGAATACAACTTCTCAAGATGCCCATCGAGCACTGGAAGCGTGAATTACTTGACAATGTATGGCTTAGTTGTGTTTCTGTTTTGTCTACAGTAGAGGTCTCATCCACAGGTTACCCCAATGCTTGGTATCAAGTTTTCTTCATCTAGGCCACTGAGCTCACACAGTAACCTTTTGGAAAGAAACTCAAGTGCACTGGACCGTCATCTCATTTTGTACAACATTGAACTATTTGTTTACATCCAACAAATTGTCGGTTAGGAAAAACAGTGCAGCCTGAGTGTTTGTACTTGGCCCAACTGCATGTTCATCCTTCATTTCAAAACCAGTTAGGAGCGAAACAACTACATTGCTTTAAGAGCACATTTATTGTATGTTACGGTGTATGGTGAATATGTTATTAAATAACGTGGTACTTTGCTCATCAGGCATAATTTCTAAAATCCAGTATATGTAAAAGTCCATTAGTGGTTGAGGGAAGCAAATCATGGAATCATCTGGCTCTAACGGTCTCTCCTGAGCTAAACTTTTTTTAGTTTTAGGCAAGGGCCAGGAAGATGGCAGACATGGTTTTGTTACACATTTTTGTATTATATGTGATTAAATTACAGACGGGCTAGTCTGTAACTAAAGACCCTTGTGGAACTGGAAGACGTCCTGTAGAAACCAATGGTCTGTTCTTGCTTGTTTCTACAAAGATCACTGGGGCCATCTGGAAAGGCAGTGAGAAGATGGATTCTACAGTACTGCTTTCATTTAATTGGGCTTTTGGAACTAACTCCCTTCAAATCCAGAACCTCACCTCTAGTTCATAACAAGAATGGGCACTTGTGCTTGTGTTTCTGGACAGAACTGCTTTTCCAAAGTCAGGTCAGCCAGGGATGTAAGCGTTTTTATGCAGTTTACATCCATCCTTTAGGAGAAAATGACGTGGCAACCAGGAAAGAGTGGGAAAAATACGGAAATTGGCAGTGGGGAGGAACCCCCAGTCCTCTGGCTGGTTGAAGATCAAAATCAGATGCCTAGGGTGTAAATTACATTGCATGTTATCTTGCCTTGAGGTTCTTAACAGTGAACTCCCATTAATGAGCAGTCTTCAGTATTAAAACCACTGTCTTGTCAGCCCTCTGCATCACTGTCTTACTTGGATGTTTCAGTTTAACTAATGTTATTTATAGAACAGCATTAATCCATTAAAGCTAACCTATTTTTCAATATTTATGATAATCTATGTACATACATCGTTTGTCCATATGTATTTGTATATAGATTGTATATAATGTCAGGTTTGGGGTTTGGGTTCAAGTGTATATATTCCTGTAAGTTTATTAACTGCATTTTGATGAGTTCCTATTATGTACCTGTAAGAAGTGCCCCAAAAGTTAACTGTACAGACATTTCAGTACAAAACAAAGTTAACAAATGTTGTAAACACTAAAAATTGAAGATACTGTTTAAATTGTATTTGCAATAAACAGGCTGGTTGTACATCACTTTTTTTTCCCCCACAAAAACCTGGTGCAAGTTCTGATCTCTTATTAAATAAGGACTAAATTTTCAAAATGCAGTAATTTTCAAAATGTGATCTAGTGTTAACGATCAAATGTGATAGCTTGTGTGATGAAAAGACCTTTGAAAAGTTGGGTGTGTTAACGTTTTGTACATAGTGTAAATACCCCTACTGTACTAGAGGCTAACCAGGCATACGACCTGTTGGCAGAGTGCTACACCGTTTCAATGAAACTGTTTGTTTTAACTGAACTAAAATAAACACATGCTTAATCCAGAGTAGCAGTGGTTTCTTGGAGGTAATGGATGAATAATGCTTAAGATAGTGTTACACATCACCCAGGGCTTAGTAGGTACCCATAAATGTTAGTGAATATAATGGACAAGGGTCAGGAAAAATAGGTTGTTACTAAAAGGTGGTTAATTTACAAAATGAGAGGGACTGGATTAAGGTGTGTTGATCTAGGTAGACCAATGGAATGCTAGAATCACAGGGTTGCGTTTTATAAATGCAGCTTTCTGGAGTGAGCGCCTCGGTCTGATACTGCAGGCCAGGATTTTTTTTTTCCAGAAAGCTATTCGAATGCAGTTAGAAGCCATTCAGCTATACCCTACAAGATGAGTTTGGCTTTGGTGAACGAGTCAGGGAAGGGGGAGTAAGACTGGGGTGTTGGTCACATCAGATGGAGGAAGGTTATGGCTTATAAAATCAAACAGGACAGCAAGTGCGCTTTGGAGTACAAAATACACAGCGAAGATGGACAAGTGGGGAGGAGTTAGGGCAGAACTTGTAGCAAATCTGAATTGAAGCAGAACACCTGCCACACATCTAAAATTACTGTGGGAAAGCAGGTGGCTAATTTATCACACTTGATTTTAACAGAATCCATACCTTGAATTAAGCCACTAATGATAAAATTAACCAGAAGTATCAATGTAGTCGTCTGAAACTAATGCTGTTAAGTGGTAGGCCCACTGGTAGGGATACGACAGTTCTTGAGAGAACCAACCAGCTGCTCCCAAGAAATGGCCAGTAAATCTAAAGAAAATGTATGGATATTTTCCACTAGAGAACAAAATCTGTCTTGACTTAGAAATATTAGCTGGAGAACTGCTTGCTTTTCTGCTAACAAAGTTTTTAAAAATTTAAGTTTGCTTATGCAAAGATGGTGAGAGGGAAAGCGAATTAATTTCTACCAGGTAAATGACTTTGTGGCACTGAAATCCTTTTTCATTCAAATCCAGATGTTTGTCCCCTACACTGTGAGGAAGAAATGAACAAGTATGGTTGCTATTTATGCCTTAAAGGAACCAAGAGTGCCCTCCCTGGTGGCACAGCAGGTTAAAGCACAGCACTAAGAAGCTAAAGCCACTTCGGCATGAGTTTGATCCCCAGCCAGGGAGGTGACCCACATGATGCCACAGACCTCCCCTGACCAGGCTGCTGCTCCCCTTAGCAGTGTACTTTGTCAGTCGGCCTGTTCTGCTCCCCACTCTGTCTCTGATGAATCCTCTCATCCCCCACACCTCTGGCCTGTACCCCATTCTGTATTCATAAATCTTAAAAAAAAAAAAAAGGAACCACAAGTGACCCTTGATTGGTTCCTGGCAATGTGACCTTGCACGTCCTTCGTGCTAGTAGGTGGTGGATGATATTGTTTTCCACCCTGAAGCTAGGGAGCCTGTTACACCGACTGGCTTCTCAGTTCTGCTTTACTCAGACACCGAGATGAATGTGTGCCTCGTTTCATTGTTGGGGTCCTGAGTTTGGTTGCCACGCCTGCTTGTGGAGCAGAAAGTCTCCATGAAAAGCCCCTCATAAAAGCCTTACAACCTGATACTCATTTGAGCTTCATTGGGCAGCAACTTTCCAATATGTCCCTGTTGTTGTGTGGCCTTAGACCAGGGAGAGCTTGAGGCTGGAGCTGGGCCCCTCAGCATGGCTGCTGCTCTGGGTCTGAATCCTCTGCTGGAATAAGTCTTACTATTGAGTCTTGTGAATCCTGGTGGATCACCAAATGAAACACTCATAGTCTCTTTTTCTCTGCAATGTCATTTTCTCTTGCATTCTACAGGAAGAATATTCCTAATGAAAGTTCAAAGGTATTGTCTGGAGGGTGTAGTGTTGGGGTTGTTAGCTACAATGGAGATTATTTTTAATTATTATTATTATTGTTATGTGGAAGGGGTGCATGCCAGTGTTGTGGGGTATGGGGTAGGGGTTGCTAAGAGGATTCACCAGAGACAGAATGAGGAACAGAACAGATGGATTGACTGAAATACACTGCTGAGGGAAGCAGCGGGCCTGCGGTGCCACATGGGTTCAAACTCAGGCTTTATTAGTGACAGCGGGATAGCTCTGAGACTTAACCCCTAGGCCACCAAAGAGGCCCAGGATACCTATTCTAGCAAGCAACTGTTTCTTTTCTTGGAAGGGAAAAGCACTCCTTTCGGTGAATTTTTGGAGAATTTTCTTGCAGGGTGTCCAATCCACTAGAACCTCAGAAGCATGTAATTCTAGCCAAAAAATGGGCTCTATTTCTTTTTCTTTTTTTTCCTTTAAAGTGACTGGAAGTCTCTGGAGATGTGAATCTCATGGTTCACAACCTTTCTGCTCCAGATAGAGGGATTGTATTTTTAACCTGATCCCTAAATAGAAAGATCCAAAGATGGAAATATGTGGAATATGAAAGTCCCTTATCAAAATGCATGAGAGTTATAAATCTGAAAGCATTCTTCTTTCATAAGCTGCTCTAAAAAGAAATGTTTAGTACTGAGTGTATTGGAGGCAATGAAGCAAGAACATTCCTTCTTGCTTGTGGGGGAGAGACTAACAAATTGCATTTTAAACAAGCGCTCTTTCTTCTCTAAAGAAAAAAAAGCAAACAATGCACTTAAAAGAGCTTTGCAGAATTTTACTACGGTATTTACCATAGAAGAGTTAATGATTAGCAACGCCTGCACTTGCTCCACACATGCTCTCTCTGTGCCACACTTTTTATAGGAAAAAAACATAATCTTGTAGGTGTGCAAAGAAAGGTTCAAGTTCCAGTTTGCTATTACCAATTGTGTGAACCCCAGCAAGTTCCTTACCCTGCCCATACTCGGTTGGCTCATTTTGTAGTAAAATGACCATCACTCACATCATCTTGTGCTTATGTGTCAGGTACTGACCTGCTCTATATTCCCTTAAGGAATGTGTCTTGCTGCTTTAGGGCTTCTACTTCCTGTTTCCACTCAGCCCGCTCCTGGTCTCCATCCTTGACCTCTGTGGCATTCTCTGACAGCAACCTCCGTAGATTATCAGGCTTTCCTTTCAGCCCCAGTTCTGGCCTCTGTGCTAGACCCTCTGAGTGACAGGGCCCTTCCTGCATGCCTGGGTGTGCATCCTCCCCAGCCAATTGCAAGCCATTGATATTTCTGGAATCTACCCTCAGAATCTAGCATCGCCCTGCTCCAACCATGCCCCATTTGCTGTCAGGCTGATCTTTCCACTAAACTCATCGTAAAATCCTGCAGGGCTTCTTAGCCTATCCTCCCTACCAGCAAACCCCTTGCTTCTAATCTCACAAAGAATTGTTCCCAGAGCACACCACAGGCTTTCCTCTCTGCTTTGTTTGCTGCCTGGAATGCTGTTCTCTGCTCTTCTGCTGCTAGGTTAACCCCATTTCCTCACTAAGACTCAGATCAGACACTGTCTCCTCCAGGGATCTTGTGCTTCTTCTGGGCAAGAGTCTGTGTTCTGGGCAATGGGCTTCACCTTCTACCTGCTGCCCCCACGACCCCCTCATTCTCAGATTGAGACCACCTGTCCTGGTCACTGGCACTGATAGGGGTCTGTGGATATTTGCTGGCTTATCTCAGCTCCTTTCCTGACCAAGCCCTCAGCTGGGTCTTGGCCAAATTCTTAGCAACATGTTAGCTTCCAGAGCATTCCACATATCAGACCCCCAGATAAACATTAACATGCAAATCTTTCTTTAAGAAACTCACACACAGGGCCCTCCCCAGTTGCGCAGCGGGTTAATGCACAGCACTGAGAATCTAAAGCCACTTCCGCATGAGTTCGATTCCTGCCTGCCCCGGGAGGTGACCACATGGTGTGGCAGACCTCTCCTG